GTCTTTGCAGGGCCGGCACTATCCGAGCGCCGGCCCTGCAGTAGTCTGCCCACATAGAGGATACTGCGGCCGCCGCCGGGGAGAGAGGGAGGGAGCCAGCCTTCCAGCAGAGGAACCCGGCGGAGGTTTAACTTGCAGCTCCGCCGGGTTCCTCTCGCGAGATTCGGAGCGTTGCCATGGCTAGAGTTCACTCACCACTAGGACCACCAGGGATGGATGGCAGCCCCAGCACCAGGATCCTCCCTCCCAGGCATAAGGTAAGCAGGGATGGGGGAAATAATCACTCAGGTATAATCACAGCAGCCTCACTCAAAGATACTCTGCACCCCTAACACTCACAGCACACACACTGCACCCCTAACACTCACAGCACCCTCACAAACACACACTGCACCCCTAACACTCACAGCACACACACTGCACACACACTGCACAGCACCTTTACACACACACACTGCACCCCTAACACTCACAACACCCTCACACACACACACTGCACCCACTCTCACACGCAAACCTGATACCACAGCACCTTTACACACACACACTGCACCCCTAACACTCACAGCACACACACTGCACCCCTAACACTCACAGCACCCCTAACACTCACAGCACACACACTGCACCCCTGACACTCAGAGCACCCTCACACACACACACACTGCACCCCTAACACTTACAGCACACACATTGCACCCCTGACACTCACAGCACCCTCACATACACACACTGCACCCTCTAACGCTCACACAGCACACACACTGCACCCCTGACACCTCAGGAGAATCTCACACACACACACTGCACCCCTGACACGCACATCACACACACTGCACCCAACACTCACAGCACCCTCACTCACACACTGCACGTCTGACACTCACAGCACACACAAAATGCACCCCTAACACTCACAGCACCCTCACACACACACACACTGCACCCCTGACACGCACAGCACACACACTGCACCCCTGACACTCACAGCACACACACACACTTCACGTCTGACACTCACAGCACACACAAAATGCACCCCTAACACTCACAGCACCCTCACACACTGTACCCCTGACACTCACAGCACCCTCACACACACACTGCACCCTCACACATACACACTGCACCCCTAACACGCAGAGCACACACACTGCACCCCTGACACTCACAGCACCCTCACACACACACTGCATCCCTGACACGCACATCACACACACACACACACACACACACTGCACCCCTGACACTCACAGCACCCTCACTCACACACACTGCACCCCTGACACTCACAGCTTCCTCACATGCATACACTGCACCCTCACAAACAGATTCCTCACATGCACATAGCACCCTCACGCAAACACAGCACCCACTCACACACAGCACACACACACTGTACCCATCACACACACAGGACCCTTACCCACATAGCACCCTCACGCAAACACAGCACCCATCACTCACACACACACTGCACCCCTCTCACACACACTACACCCCTTATACACACACGCAGGGCTGCCATCAGAAATGGTGGGGCCCCTGACACAGCTCAAGGTCTGGGCCCCCCGGTCCGCCCAAAGTGCTGCCCCCCCCCCGAATCCCATCACAATGGGACATCACAATGCCCCACCCATATGATCTGCCATGTTAACTAACACCATTGCTGCAGTGCGCCGTGTTTACATGAAAAGGTCTGCAGGGACAGGCTAGACACC